CCACGTGTGCCACATCTGCAGCATGCATCCTAGCACACACACATCCAAGCACAGAGTCTGGCACTGCAGTGAATACCAGGAACTGCAGCAGAGGCAAGCCTCAGGGTGAAATCCTGTATTTCTGCACCTTCCACAGACTCTATGCCCATCCAGCCACTCAGGTTTATCAGAAAGGAGACCAAATCTCTGCCATTTCCAATTCACTTTGGGCTCTGAATTTGCCAATTACCCTGGGAAACAGTGCTCTGCTGTTCTGTGTTTCCAGGTATCACAGTGCTGATTCTGTTCCACTGCTGATTTGTAATATATTTTACTTTTCTTGTAAAAAGAAAAAAAAAAAAAAAAAGGAAATGTTTTGCTTTTTACCCTTGAAAGTTCCTGTGCTATTGCTTGCTTTCGCATTTTCACTGTATTGTACTGTTACTCCTTTCTGCAAAATGGTGCTAATTGCTGACTGAGCTCCTTTTTCTGAACTGCTTTGCACACTAATCACCTGCTTCTTCATTTGCAGCACAGCCGGTGCCAAAACCTGGTGCCCATGCATTCCATAAACTCTTGCCTCTTGGAGGCAGATAAGAAGTGTCTAATTATTATTTTGTGGCCTGGGTTTGGTTGCATATCACAAATTGTCTCTTGTAAACACGTTAAGCACACCTCCTTGTGGTGCTTTTTCATTGTTGATATTCTGATGAGAGTCTCACACACACACACACACACAAACACACACACACTCTCTCACATTAATGTACCACCGATTGATTGTGATGTGCTTGTGATCTTTGCTTGCTCAAAGGGTTCTTTTTCCAATGATAAATAAATGCTGAAGACAAATACCACCTCCTTGATCTTGTTTTCTCAATCAGAAGCACAGTTAAATGAAAGAAATGTCTGTCCATCCAAAATGAAGCTTGTGTTGCTCAGAGTTGCCACTTTCATGCCTGCTGTGGGGACAGCTGGCCTGGCACAGTCTAAACTCCCTTTAGGTGGCTGCTAATCTCAGACCAGTCTGGCATGAGCTATAAGTGTTTGCAAATGCAAAGATGGACAGTGAAGTCATGCGGATAGCACAAGTTTTCTTTTATTTTCTATATAAAATATCTTTGAGTAAAGGGTCTGTGCAGTGCCTTGCTCATGTCCACTCTTGTCCTTGCTGAGGGAGCAGAGACAAAATCCCAACGAGAGCTGGAGGGAGGGTAGATGATGTGTATTTAGCAATGTTAATTACACTTTTTTTCAACTGCCTACAGCTTTTATTTTCTCCCTAAACCAAACCTGGAAAACTTGGTCTACTGGAAGATATCTCTTCCCATGGTAGGGGGTTTGGAACTAGATGGTGTTTAAGGTCATGATTCCATGATTTTGAAACCTCTCCTCCACCTTCTCCTCCTCTCTGTTGACATCCATGGGCCACCAAACCTTTTCTACCTTCCTGTTGCTAAGGGTGTCATTTCACATCCCTGCCTTATTTACAAATCACTTCCTGAATTTATTCCATTTGTGACCACATGCTAGTAAGAGTGCTGCTTTCTGATATCCTCTCTATCACCCTGCCTTCCCTTCTCTCTTCTCCACCAGTTTCATCCATTCATGAATCACACTACCTACAGGGTTTTTGGAGTGTTTCAGCTGGGCTGTAGGTTGCAGGATTTACCATTTCACTCTGTACAGCTGCTAGTGGAGAAAATGCTAATTTCTAAAGGATTGGTTATTACTGGGGCATTTCTGTGACAATCCATGATGGGCAACAAAGTGCTTCTCCCATGACACAAAGGTACAGTCTTTTCCATGCTGCATCAAGGCAACTTCATGCTGCAGTCTCCATGGGTAATTCATCTCCTCCCTGCAGCTGCCCAAAGTGAATGCTGGAAAACACCTTCGCTGCCCTGTTGATCTCTGAACTCAGCCTTGCAAAGCCCAAATGCAGAAAGGGGCACAGGATGCATTTCAAGGGAAGAGTAGGACCCATCCCTGCTCTTCAACCATCATTATTTGAACCCACTGGTAATGACTGACTCCTTAACCTTCACCAAATCGCTAGTGACTGGCACTGCCCACATCTTTCCAAGGGCTGTGCTGGAGGGCTTCTGAAAATGAAGTGCTTTGTCTTACAAGAGCATTTAGTGTGGAGATGTTGAGGCACTGGCTGGAGGATAAAAAGTCTTATTTGTCAGTGTTGGTGTCTGGGTGAAGTGAACAATAAATTGAATTTTGAAAGTCAAGCCTCCATCTCAAATACCTAATAACAGAGTGTTTTAGAAGTCTTTTCCAACCTAAGTAATTCTGTGATCTGAGAACGATCAGAAGCTTTGCAGAGTTGTGGCTTTGACTGCCATGAGCAGTCTCATGAGGAGTTGCCTCCCTGCTTCCAATTTTACTGAGCTGCTTTTGACTACATTGTGTCCACTCATCTAGGATCCTTGTGCATGGGTGGATGAAGTTGTTTTTCCTTGACACTCTCCATCCTTCCACGCCAGCTTGGGCACAGAACTGAGGTCCCTTTGAAAACCTCCGTTATAATTTTTACATCCCTGACTGCTAAAAGGATGTTTCATCAGCTGACATACCAGCCGTTCTACAAATGCAGCCTCTTGTGTCATTATATTCTTTTGATTTAGGGTTTATTTAGAGATGTGCCAGTGCAGGAGAGAAAGAGACTTTTTAAGAAGATGCTTCTGACATAGCTTGTACCTCCCAACATCCAAGGAATAACAACCAGCAGTGACATCAGATCAAGAAGAGGAGCCATACAGGAAGGAGAAATTCCCTAGAATAAACACGATTATATGGATGTGCTCTAAGAACAGTATCTTTTCCACATTTGGAAAATATTGTGGTGTTCAGACATGGGCTTCTGCTCTGCCTTGTTTCAACAGTGTCATGGTAAGTTTGATTCATTTGGGGAATTGGCACCTCACTCCCATTTGCCCTTATTCACCTGAGGTTTCTGGGTCGGGAGCAATTCCACTAATGCCACTGGGTCTACTTCCAAGCTCAGGGGTGTGTGATGAGGGGTAACACAGCTCTGTGTACTCTGTGGTCTGTCACAAACTCTGAATTGCTTGTCAAGACTCTTAATTTCTGTTGCAGGGTGCCTTGGGAACAACTCCCTAATCCTGACTGTCATGGTGGAAGACATGTGAGGCAAGAGTAAAACAAAATCCTACTAGTGGATTGAATGGATGGAAGGCATCTTTATGCTTTCTAAAATGCCAGCTTGCCCTTCAGGGAAAGGAAGGCTACTCCATGGAAGCCAACGACAAGGACCAGCCACCAGAAAAATGATGGATGGTAGTGGCAGATTTCAGTGATATGTGAGAGCCCTGACTGCTTTCAGTGTGTTTCAATGTGAGAGATGGGAAGGGGAAAGCATTTCTGAACCCTCCTTGTTGTCCTCTGCCCACCCCAACCTAGCCTGTGGCAGGCAACAACCCCAAGTCCCCGAACAGAGCTGGAGAAACTGGTGTGTCCTCTCTAGCTCTGGAGAACTGGGTCACAGCAAAGAGTGAGGAGCACCCTGCATGGCACATGGTGGATGGAATCTCACCGCATGATGGGTGGCAGATGGGTCTGTTCTTGTCAGTTAACAACACCCATAAGCACTCCATGGTTCCAGTACCAGATGGTCAAGGCAGGGAAATCCTGAGAGCAGCCCCTGGCCATTGGACTGACCTGCTCCTTGGACTGGTTCAGGATTTAGTACCCAGCTGAAGACAAGTTCAGCTGAGGCCACCTTGCTTGGACTCAAGAGATTTGCCCAGAGAAGCTGTGGCTGCCCCATCCCTGTAAGTGTTCAAGGCGAGTGTTGTACTGGAGCTGGAGAAACCTGGTCTAGTGGAAGGTGTCCCCATCCATGGCAGGGGGGTTGGATCTTCAAGGTCCTTCCCACTCAAATAATTCTGTGATCCTGTGATTTATCAGCAGGGACACAACCCCCAAGTGTACCCTGAATTTAATGAAACAGATAGTTCTTTGGAGCTGCATGACAGTGAATGTCTTTTCCCTTTTGCCCCTCCCCAAGGTTCATTGCTGATCAGAGATCTCTCCCTATTGGCTCCTTCCCTTGCAGTCTGTAATGCTCTCACCTCCCCATATTGACCCCGTTTGCCCACCACACCATTCCTTCTTGCCTTCAGAATAATTTTCCCTCCATCCTCTCTGCCAGCTTTTGTGTGTCTGTCCCACACTGCTTCTCCAATTCTTTTTTTTCTCCCACCTCTCCCCATACATCCACATCACCCCACATACCCAGCTCCATGAAAGACCTTCTCCTTCCCATCCCCCCTCAGATATTGTCTCATCTCCTGTCTCTCTTAGACTGTAAACCTTTTGTTTTTGCCTGTATTGTGTGATTTCACTCACTGCTTGAATAAATGATACCTCACCTACCAACTGTCTCTTCTCTCTCTCTCCTTTCTTGGTGTGACTTCACTAGATGTGTCTGCAAGTGCCTTGTTTGTCTGTCCTGGTGGCCAGTCAAGCAGTCGGTCTTGCTTCTGCAAATCTGTCTTTTAGGGTGACACTGCTCATGCTTTTGTCCTCTGGTACCTTTGTTTCTTTTCTTTTACAGCCACAGGGACAAGCTTTGTTGTAAGTGTAGGAGCCTGGCACATTCAGAGCTGCAGGATCTTCTGTCCCTTGCCATTTGGTGCATCTGATAAAGAGGTTGGCCTTTCTCCAGCTCCCTGCAGAGATGTCCTGTGCTGCCAGGTGGTTCAACAAAGGCAGCAGCTGAGGAGAATGAAGGAGAAATCTTGTAAGGCCAGAGCAGAAGCAGCTGATGGTAAAGGAACAACATTCCCCTGTAACAGGAAGCAGTGGACAGAGATGTGTCAGTGGAAATCCAAGCAGATCTATCTGTCAGGGGAATATATACCTGCCAGAGGAATATATCTGCCATCTAAGCAAAAGCTGGCTTAGCATGTTTCAGAGATGGATGCCCAGGAGGCTTCTTGTGGCTGAGAAGGTGCCCTGGACATCTGCTTCCTTCATCCCAGGTGAGGACTAAATCTGTCTGTAGTCCCTTCTACGTGTGAGTACATCAAGGACTCGGTTGTCACTCAGTCTCAGATGGATCTTTGCTGCCTCCTTGTCCTAATTTATTGCCTCAAAGTGCTAGTTTGGTTGGTGCTGGCTGGAGCTGTCGGTGCACATGGAGATGGTGCTTCTTCCCAGGTGCTCCTTACAAACATGGAAAGTTGCAGGAGCAGCTCGGTTCTTCTATCCTTACAGTGACCCTCAGTGCCTGTGGTGTGACATCAGCCTGTCAGAAAGCAAAGGAGACTCCTGGTCATGCTGAGTGAGCTCAGAGCATGGTCACCAGTCTGGTTTCATGGGCCATCTGCAGGAGTTAGGTCTGAGGGCCTAAAGAGAGGCAAACTGAAGCAGTTTGGTGGACACGGATGGGAGAGGGATCAAGCAGTGCTCAGTCTCCTCTTCCAGTGCCTGTTCCTGTCCTGTCCAGCCTGCAAGAGCAGACAGAAGAGATGGAATGTGTGGGGAGCTCAAATCCTCAGTGATAAGCCTGGAAATGCCATCTAGGACAAATAAGACTTGCAGCTGTGTTGTGCCTGACATCTCCAGGCTGAAGGAATTTTGGTGTAGGTTCTGGAAAGAAGCATTAGGAAAGAGAGTCAATCCCTTGATGTAGGTGATAATTGTGCATCCTTTCCTATGTGCCACCATGACTTCCACCTGCCTTGCTTCCACATTGTTGCTGCCTCCTCCTCCAAGCTGTAGATTCCACCAGTAGAAAAGCACTGAAAAACCAGTATTTAGGACATGATTCCTCCATGCTACTCAGGTCCTTATCTCATTTGAGTGGATACAGGAGTCTTCTAACAGCTACATTTCTGCCAGCAGAGCTCTGTAAGAGCTTGCCTGTCTGCTGCTTTGGTTTGAACTCTGAAGGGCTGAGTTCCTTGTTGCTCATCCCACACCTACATCAGGCCAGATTTCCCAACCAGGAATTTTCTTTTTCAGATCTTACTGGCCCCAAACAGGTGCATGTTTCCAGGTCTCACACCTTTGCAAGGACAGCAACCCCTCTGGTTGCTGAGGTATAGAACAAGGCTAAAAGTCTCCACTTCCCTGTGTTATATCTACTGCTTGGTTTTCCAAAGAATGCAACTGAGATCAATTATAAAGCACTACATTAAAACCATTTTTCAGTACAAAAAAAAAAGTTTGTATTTTTGTTGCTGTTTTGTAAAGACAAAAAGCTTCAGTGCACAAAGGGCAACACAGCATTCAGAAGACAGAAGTGACTTGTCATAACCTCCACATAATCTAACTGGGAATTGCATTTGCCCAGAAATCAATAAGTTTCTATCTTTTGAGAAAAATTAACCTGCCAGTGCCATCCTGGATAAGGGCACTAACCAAAAGGTGGTTCCTCCACAGACAAGAGCTGTCTCCTCACCTGAATTCCCTGGGAATGAAAGGACAGACTTCTCATGTTTTTTTCTTTAAAATGCTCCTTCAGCACCAAAGTTCTGTGCCTGAGGCTGTTTGCTGTTTATGAGCCACTGATTCAGGTAGAGGATTCCTGCTGCTTCTATTTCTCTTAAAAGCAACTTTTAATTTTCTGTGTGCCTATACAGAGTCATAACAGCTCCCAAATAGCTAAACTGCTTTATATCAAAGTAATTTTGCAGAAGACAATACAAGTCATCAATTCATTTTGATATGAGGCCACCAAGATGTCAAGATGTGAATTCATAGAGGAACAAGGATGAGATGTGAGCAGGTCCTCCACATCTCTGAGGAACAGGATAATATTGCTGGAGCTGTCAGAGGCAAGTTTAGACCCCAGGTCACAGAATCCCAGCTCCATGTGGTTACACCAGGACCAACAAAGAGGAGGTGGCACTATGTGTGCTCATGGTGGCCCATGAACACCCCTGGTTATTTCCAGACACCTTGTGCTGACTCTGGGAAACAAACCCCTGCTGAATTTTATACTCTTTCTGCACCTCTGTCAGACATAACAAGAGGAGAAATCTGTCACCTCTAATTCATCTCTTCCACATTTCTCACCTTCTCATGTGACAATTTGCCATCAGCAGCCCCCATGAGGGCAAAAACTCCAACTCTTTCCTTGCTTGGCTTAAACAAAGATAATGTATAAATGTTACTGCATGTGTGTTGGGGATGGTTATATTTCAGGATCAGGCTCTCCATTCAATTCTCCTATTTGCACACTGCCAGCTCACTCTTCCTAAGGCTGGTAACTAGAGCTAGACCTCGCTGTGCAGCCCTGCAGGGAACAGCCATGGTTGTTCTCAGCTGTGCATGCTCTGTTGTTTCTGAATACTAACTCCGGGGGGAAATAACGTAATTACCTACCACTCACACTCCCTCCAGTTGAAAACAGGTTTGGATGGACAATCACACAATTGTCTATATTCATGTAAACAAAGGGGAAGCCAGGGGGTGAGTTATCTTTCTCCTCCTCAGGCCTGAAATCTGTGGCTGAAGGATACACACAGTCATGGGAAAAGAGCCAGTAGATTAAAAGGAAGAATGCACACTGCAGGCAGCAGCTTTCTGACTGTCTCAACAGGGAGGGACCACCCTAGTGCTGCTGAGATGGAGGAATTCCCCTGGTGATTCTAGCAAGGGCTCAGGAAAATGATGGTAGATTGAAAACAGTTCATGTTGCTTCAGGGAGAGATGATTTTTTTTTACTTTTAAAGCTCTCCTCTGAAATGCAGGGTAGCAGCAAGAGCAGGGTTGGATACCAGGGAAGAGGTGGAATGGCTCTGATGTTGACCTACCTAGATCAGGTTGAACCTGGATCATCATGTACACACTGACACTGAGATCATGCCCCATGGTTCCTGCATCCTCCCTCACCAAATGAGGTGTGAATATGTGCTTGGTATCTGCAGCAGTTACTGATGGCCTTCAAACTGCAAGTTTGGCACCAGTTGGGCACCATTTCTGCTGGCAAGGATGTGCAGGCATCTCCAGCGTTCTCCAGAGACCAGGCAATGGCTCCTGTCCTAGCAGATGTCTGTGCATCAGCAGTATGGACCTGGTCTACCCTGACAATGGGGCATCCTTCCGAAGAGAAGCTGCTCTGCATTTTCCCCCTAATCCTCTGATTTATGGTGCTGGGCTTACCTCATTCCCATAGGAACTACTGCACTGAAGGAACTCAGAAGATTTCCTACCAACCACTGCCAACAGTTTCTGGCAGCAAATGTCTCTTCGTAGTGAGCAAAAAGGGCAAGGTGAAGGTGAGTATTTGACAGAAGGGTGTCCTGCCAGGGCTCTTCACATGGTCCTACCCAACAAGCCTCTCACACAGAAATTATTTTTGTCATGTCTGGGTTGGGTTGATTTCACAGACCAAGAAAATGGTAACCAGCCACTCCATGGTGTCAGCCTCTCCTTCCCTCCTCTAACCTGGAACCATTCCCTGCTCAAAAATGGTGCAAGACTGGGGGACAAATGGGGATCTCCACAGTCCCTTGATGCAACCACCATGTAAAACTGCCCATTTTAAATCTTAGTAGGTTTCTTGTACATCAACAACTGCTTTTGGCCTTTCTGCACCCTCACAAACCCATTCCCATCCATCCATGCCTCTCCTCATCCTCCGAGATCCTCCTCCTCTTTCCTAATAAAGACTGATTCCCTTCTTCCCTACAAGTATTTCTTTTCCCATCCCTCCCTCTGTGGTTTCTCAAGACCCAATATTCCTTCCAACACATGTCCAGAGCTTCTACTGGCACCATCTACCCTAACCCCAGGGTGCCTTTGTGAGGGTATTGAAGAGAAAAGGGGTGCTCTCAATTTTGGGTTAGTATATTTTAGCTGGGCCTACTTTCCTTTGGTTGTTTCAACAGGTTCCAGGTGCTTCCTGAGTGGCACAAGAGCTTAGCTCCACTATGAGAGGGCTTTTACCACCCATCACGAGGGAAACAAGCTGCTTCTTTGTGAGAAAATTTTACAGCAAGCTGTTTGTTTGATGCATGTTATAATCAACTGGCAAGTATTTTTTGTAGCTGATGGTGGACGTGATCCTGGTCACAGTTAAACCAAGGGCTGGTCAAAAAATCCAGCCCAAGCCCTCACAGGTTTTGTGGCATCCATGAGTTTTGGAGCACTTCCTTGCAGAGAGCAGGACCATTACCAGCTAGCTCAAGGACATACCAAATGTGTGGTTGCTTGGGGACCACTCTGCAGGGCCATTGGTCATGGGGCAAAGACCACCTCAGGGGTGGCATTTTGTTCTCATGGGCCAGCTGGTTGCTGTGATAGCTTTGCAGTGATGCTCTTTCTTCTGCTTCCAGGACCCCTGAAAAAAACACTGGTGCTACAGACCAAGAACCAAGTACCTTAGTGAAGGATGAATTCACATGAAGTCAGGAACCTTCATCTGAGCATCAGCTGGAGCAAATGTATAGTTTGCATGAAATGTGTATTGTGTGGCTGGCATAAAATAAAGCTGATTATGAGAGCTGAATGACAACTTCTGTTGTCTCTCAAGCACTTTGAAGTTATTGTGTGATGCAGTTAGCATGTCTGTGCCTTGATTTATGTATAGTAAAGTTACAGAAAAAAAATGGGTCCAATTCTCCCTTTATTCATAGATGGGAAGCAACACTGGTTTTAAAGGTTTCTCTATTTTATGTAGGCAACAGAGACATAGATTCATATCCATAGCTTGTGGAAGGATCACACTGCATATCACACTGGCTTATGCCAGAATCCTAGTTGATCTTTGGAAGATTTAGTACACTAAATTTTTAATCACTGTCAGGAGCTTGTGTTTGGCTATTGCCAGGTGAGACATACCTTGTACAACATCCAGCAGATCCCCTTGTCACTGTGCTGTAGTCATGAATATTTCAGACCTTCTTCTGAAGCTCTTAATATTCAACTGATTGCCAATTTGGGTATCACTTAAAGCAAATAACAGATTTATTTGGGTTGGAAGAGACTTTATTATCATCCAGTTCCACTCCCCTGCCATGGGGAAGGACATATTCCACTAGACCAGGTTTCTCCAAGCCCCATCCAACTTGGCCTTTAGGACTTCTGGGAATGAGGCAGCCACAGCTTCTCTGGGCAACCTGTGCCAGGGTCTTGCCACCCTCACAGGGAGGAACTTCTTGATTGCTGACCTAAATTTCTCTTCTTTCAGTCTGAACCCTTGTCCTGTCACTAAATTTCCTGATGCAGAGTTCATCTGTCTTCCTTGTAGGCTCCTTCTGACACTAGGAGACGTTCTGAGGCATCCAGGTAATGCCTTAACTTTTAACTTCTGTATTTTTCAGATTCGGTGCTGCCTAGGTGTGCATCATATTAAGTGTTGGTACGCTCTCTTCACAGAGTAGGGAGACAAAACAATTCATTTGCTAGCTTGGGACCAAGGACAACCATTACAAGTTTCAGGCCCAAGAGCATAAACAATGGTAGACTGAAGAGAGAAAACAAGAAGGGTGGGATTTCACTTCATAATCTGGAGCTGTAATTGGATAATTAAACCCAATATGCAAATGGACCAGAACTTACAGAAGTGACAGACCTCATGACTGATCATCCATTTCTGTGACCATTTTGGGTTAATCTTGGGTGTAGCTCTGGCCAGGCTCTTGTACTGCCCAAGGTGTATCCATTAAGGGCTTTTAATAAATATCTACTTTATTCTTTAACTCAGTCCAGCCTCTGCTCTAGGTCAGCCTTCTCAAGGCATCAAGGCAACCTTCTGCTTTCCAGGCTGAACAGCACCAACTTTCTCAGCCTGTCTTCTTCAGGGAGGTATTCTAGAGTCCTTATCAAATGCTGGGCAAGACATCAAGCTAGCAAATTAGTATTTCTTCTCAGCTTATTTCCTAAAAAATGTTTTACTGAAAAATTGTGAGGTTGTTCACAATTGGAAATGTAGGAAAAATTCACTGAACTCATAGTTGTTCTGTATGTTCATATTTTTTGGGTGAAGTGCCGTATGTTCATAAGATTTGGGTGATCTTGGAGGTCTTTTCCAACCTTTATGATCCCTATAGGATGCATGCAGCACCATGATGGGAGATGCAATCCAGTTCTAGATCCTGTCCTATACAGATGACATGGAATCCCCAGACTACAATTCCAGCAATACACTGGCTCAGCACACTGCAATGAACATTTCTAGGTTTAGGCTGAAGGGTTCTAACACTTAGAGCTGTGGTGAGGTTTACTTTCCTAAAGTGGTAACTTCAGGCAAAAGGTTACTCTTCCTTCACAAATTAGTTATGCAAAGCAGGTGCTTTGCATAAGCACTTCACTAGAGGTGCCGTGGAGCATGGCAGCTCCATAGCCCCCCAGATCCAGAGGATTTGGCTTACTGGGTCCAGTTGATAAGAAAATTGCATTTGGGATGGAGAAGTCATTCACGTATTTCAAAGTGAAAATGCAACTCCATCATATACTTCCTCCTGCTCCTTCTTATCCTCCTTGTCCTCCTCCTACTTCTCATCCTCCTCCTCATCCTCCTCCTCCTCTTCCTAATGTTCACATTGTGGGGAGTTCTCTTTGGTAGCAGGAAGGCTGGAAAGCACCTCCTTGTTAAAGGGATAAAATACAAAGGAATATTTGTCACTACTGTGTTTTTACAACCTGTTGTAGATCAAGTTGTAGGTAGATCAGGCCTTTAGACCAGTTATGCCTTAGGTTCAGATTTTTGGCAGCAGCTTTACTCAGACAACCTGCACCTAAAAAGCTCAGGCTTGCAAGTTCTCAGGAATCACCAATCAGGTCTATTATAAAATGAGTTACTGAATGAATAGACAGGCGATTAACAGACAAAAGACCTTAAACAGAGTAACTTACTACACAGGTTAAAACAACTACTAATACAGTTCCATAAAACAGTGCACAACATAAATGTGCCCATATTATAGCTAGGAAAGAAATAGTATAGATTATGAGTCAATGTAATTTATACCAATTAATGATGAGCCAATCACACATAGAGTCCTTTCACTCAGCCTGTGGAAGAGTAACCAAAAAGTGTGTCCTGACTTTCCAGGGAATGTGCACAAGACTTCTGCTTTGTGCAAGGTTTTGTGTAGCTTTTACAGCTTGTCAAGTGAAGTGTTTGTCAGTCAGAGATTCAAGCTTATCTTCCTTCAGTCTCACTCCCAGGGCAAGATGTTTATTGTCAGCTGGGAATGCCACCTCAATGGCACAAGAAATAGCTCACTACCAGCCAGATGTCCAGCTTGAGTTATCTCAGCAAATAGCAAATTCATGTGAGGGGGAAGATGCCCTGAGATATCCTGCCAGCTGATAGGCAGAACAGATAATCCTCCTCTGAGGAGTTTCTCTGACAAGAGTAACTAATACTAACTAATATTCACTACAAAGGGATGGAGATTACATGCCTATGAATAATTGCACTGAGTGTGTGCCTCAGTCAGCAGTTCAAGGGTCCTTGTTACATATGATTAAGTAATGAAATGTTCTTATAATTGCCATGATTCCACAATTATTAGAGAGGAGACCAGTCCAAAGGTCGAGTGCTAGATGTTGGTTGCCTGCAGGAGGTTTTGCTCAAGTTCCCTGGAGCTGTTGGTGTCCAGTAAGCCAAAGATCTAATCTATACACAATTATGGGTAGTAACCCAGATACCCACGGTGGAGAACCTGAGAAAAAGAAGCTTGTTCTTCCATCAGCATCTGATTTTTGAGAGTGGCTTGGAGAGGCAGAAAATCCATTCCAAACAGAAGACAAACATTTTGTCTGCCTCTTCAGTTCGCTGAAGGTGAGAGCAGGAACAAGTGGCCACCAGCTTTCATTTACCAGTGGGAAATGCAGGGAAATGTGTTTGAAGTAATAAGGTGAAATTTGCCAGAGGTAGGTTTTGAAGCAGTACAGTTGATTTAAATGCTGACCTAAATCAAGGTGATAGTAAAAGTGTTTTAAAATCATGAGGATTTGGGGAGTTAGAAGGAAAATTAAGCTTAGTAGGCCCTGAAAAAATACCCTGGGAAAGTATAGGCCTTTTACTTGCTAGAACTGCACCTATGTAACCAGTACATGATAAATTATATAATTGTTAGATGCGATGATTGTTTAGTAATTAAATATAATTACTGTTTAATTGTAAGAATAATCATGAGAAACTGTGGTCAGGGGCTTGAGAGAGATCATGAGAAACTCATGCTTGAATAAGATCAATGTATACAATAGAACAATATAAGTTTAATAATTAATATGTAAGTTATATAACGATAGAACAGAAAATACGCTCAGCTCGAAAGACATGTCAGAGTCAGATTTGGGTCTGTACCCCTGATTCCCAGAGCTCTCAATAAAAGCACCTGCAGATAATCATATCCCGTGATTATGTGTGTTCCTGAATGCTAGCAAAGGCAGAAGAAAACATTGTGTAACATTTGTGTAAATAGTGACATGTTTTTCCACAAGACTGGGTACAATATTTCAGAAAAAAAAAAACAAAAAAAAAATTTAAATTCTAATTTCATTTCATATAGTACTGCAGTGTTCTGACTTATCATAGAGTTATAGAAGGGTTTGGGTTGGAAGGGACCTTACAGACCATCTCATTCCATGACCCTGCCATGGGCAGGGCCATATTCCACTAGACCAGGTTGCTCTAAACCCTGTCCAACCTGGCCTTGAACACTTCCTGGCATGGGGTATCCACAGCTTCTCTGGACAACCTGTGCCAAGGCTTCACCACCTTCACAGCCAAGAATTTCTTCCCAATGTCCCTTCTAACCCTGCCCTCCAGCAGTGGGAAGCCAATCCCCTTTGTCCTGTCACTCCAGTCCTGTGTCCAAAGTCCCTCTGCAGCTCTCTCAGCCCCTTTTAGGTACTGGCAGGGCCTCAAAGGTCTCCCCAGAGCCTTCTCCTTTCCAGTGTGAACACTGAGTTCTCTCAGCCTGTCTCCATGACAGAAGTGCTCTATTCCTTGGAGTATTTCCATGGCCTCCTCTGGACATGCTCCAGTAGCTCCATGTCATTCTAATGCTGGACAGCAGAGCTGCAGGTAGCACTGCAGGTGGAGAGCTCTGGAACAGGGCAGAGTTCCCCCTCCTCAGCTGCCCAAATTGGGGGGGATGCATGCCAGCATCACTTCCTTATCACCTTAAAATTTTAATTTTGCCACAAGCTGGAATATCTACAGTTTATTAAGAAAAAATAATAATTTCTCAATTTCTAGTACTTCTCTCCCCTCTTTCTTGGTGTTAGATGCTATCCTCAGACATCTGCTTCCTTCCACTTTTTGTTTCATTACCTTTTCTTTCCCTACATATTATGTTCTCCTCAGGTTCCTACTACTCTCAAAAATAATCAAGTTACTAACTGCACTGCCCATCCCATGTATTATAGATTATTTCCTGCCTTGGTTTTCCTTTTAAATTGCAAAGTCTTTGCAGCTGGGAATTTCCCTAATTTTGTGACCTGCTCATCTTGATCTTATCCTGAGGTATTACTGTAATACATATGATAGTAAGAATTATCCTCCCACCAGCAAGCTGAATTCAATGCTGCTGAATTTTGCATGCCTGCATGTCTCTGTGGTGTATGTGGCACATTCTTCCAGCCCTGGCTGTGGTTTGTATCGGCAGTGGTGTAAATGTGTAAGGCTGAGGGAAAGGAGACAATCCCCCGAGCAAAATAAAAGCCAAGGCTGAAAGAAGAGCAACACAGGAGACCAGAAATTAGAGCAATGAAAGAAAAGTAGCTTTTCAAACTCAGAAATTATTGCAATGGAGGCAGATGGAAGCAAGGGGGCAAAGTTTTCTATTCCTCCATCCAGGAGCTGGGTAGGAATACTGGTCGAGGGAGAGGATATATCCCCTAGAGAAGAGGAGCAGCAGTACTGAAAAACAAAGGAGAAGAAAGTGCTTGGGAGTGGGTTTCAGACTCGATTTCACTCTTTGTAGGCCTCACAGCTTTGAGGGCATTTGCTGATTTTTCAGGGAACAGCATTGCCCAGGGATAAGGAGATGTGTAAAGTTCACACTGGGGATGCTTTAGTCACCAGCAACACTGGCAGCATGGGCAGGGATTAATGCTGCAAAGCTCCTTATTTATGGGCTAGTTCTTTTTAATGAGGCAGTGACTGAAGTTGTTCAGTGGCTAAGGAGAGCTCCAGACAGATCCATCAAAGACCAGGGCAGAAGTGAGAGAGGATTCAATTAGGCTTTGAGGCCAACAGCATCTTCACAGCTTCTCTGAGTACCTTTGACAGGTCTTCACCATCTTCATACTGAAAAATAAAGATAAAACACAGCAGGACCTTTTCCCGGAACCTTTTCCAAACAAATGTCTCTGGAAACTCTTCTTTGGGGTACAAGCCCATTCCACCTTCTCTTGCACTTTATTCTTTATTGCACTCTGTTCCTTCAAGCCTTAAATCCAACCATCAGTACCAGCTCCACATGTTTTGGTCCAACTTTATCCCTTGCAACCCAAAACCCACCTCCTCAAATCTAACCTCAGCACCAAATTCATACCCCAGCTCAAAATCTGCACCCCTAGTTCCAAATCCACCCTCCTCAGACTCAAATCCACACTTCAGCCCCAAATCTACTCCAAATTTTCTCCCCAGCTCGAAATCTACCCACCTTCCCAAACCTACTCCCCAGTACAAATCCACGCCTAAATCTGCTTTCCCTATGTCCCCAAGCTCCAAATACGCTTCTTTAATCCCAAATACACAACCTAAGCCCCATATCCACCCTATCCCATTGGCCACTCCTCCCTCCCAGCCCCTCACAGTAGCCTGTCCCACCCCAAAAAGCAGACACGTTGGCAGTAGCAGGTTTATTCTCCAATTTTCTTTCAGAGGAGTAGGGCAGCCACGGTCAGCAAGAGGCTGGAGCAGGAACAGAACTGTCACCAGTGTCAAATGGTGCAGTTCCCCTCTCCGTAGCGCCGGCACTTCATCACTTTCAGGTAAGTCTCCACTTTGTGCAGGTCCTTCTTGAAGCAGGAGAGCAAGCCGTAGTTCTGCAGCAGCGCGTCCTCACTGCGCAGGTGGATGTCAAATTTCTCGTAAGTGGCTTTCAGGATCTGGGGACCCCGGAAGCTTCGGTCCTGCAGCTCCTGCAAGAGGATTGCGAGGTGCTGGGGGAGGTGGTGGGGGCCTGGGAATGGGCATGGGGCACAATAACCTCCTGCAGTGCCCCAGGCTGGGGCAGAGTGGCTGGGAATGACCCTGGCAGTAGTTGACAGTGGCTGAACATGAGCCCGTGTGTGCCCAGGTGGGCAAGAAGGGCACCTGGCTTGCATTAGCCATGCTGTGTTCAGCAGGACCAAGGCACCAATGCCCTCCTGGTCCTGGGCACTGCTGGAGTACCTCCAGTCCCCGGGGCAGTTATGGGCCCCTCCTGACAAGAAAGACATTGAGGTGCTTGAGCATGTCCAGAGAAGGGAATGGAGCTGGGGAAGGGTCTGGAGAACCAGGAGCAGCTGAAGTGGTTGGGGAGGCTCAGAGCAGAGAAAAGAAGGTTCTGGGTGGACCTTCTCACTCTTTATAACTCCCTGATAGGACCATGGAGTCAGGCAGGGGGCAGGCTCTGTTCCCAGGGAACAAGTGACAGGACAGCAGGACACAACCTCAAGCTGTGCCAGAGGTGTTTCAAGTTGGACATCAGGAAGAATTTCTTCACAGAAAAGATTGTTAAACATTGGAAGGGACCACAGGGAGGTGGTGAAGTCACTGTCCCTGGAGGTGTTCAGGGAATGGCTGGGCATGGCACTCAGTCTCTAGTCTGGTTGACAAGGTAGTGGTCTTGGACTTGGTGATCTTGGAGGTCTTTTCCAGCCTCAGTGATTCTATGATCTCCCACAGACCCAGTGCCACAGTTCCCATTGAACTTTAAATGAGGTCATGGGTTTCTCCCTCCAGTCTAAAAGAATATTTCAAACATATTTTTGATTGTATGTGTTTGCAGGAAGGGCAGTGATGTAGGGGGGATGCTACAGTGAGAAGGGAGCTGGGCACAGGGCTGCAGGGAGGGAGGAGTGTGTATTTGGGGTCTTAAAATAAAGAGTAAGTTGCAGGGTCTCTCTGTACCTCCTCCAGTCAAGGAGATGGAACTGGGCAAATAATTCTGTCTTTTCTCCCACTTTGCCAGAAAATAAAGCTCTAACCCAGACCCAAGCCATGTACATCTGGAGCTGACAGCTACACTCCTCCTGCCCCGCTGTGGTCACCAGCTGCCACAAGCAGGAAAGTTTTTGTTAAGGAAAAAGAACCATAAATGGGTGAAATATGATTGTTTGTCTGGTTTCTGTGTACTATTTCCTAATGCCCAAGCACATCCCATATGGGGACCAAAATCATAGAATTGTGAAGTTACAAACTGGTTTAGGTTGGAAGGGGCCTTAAAGACCACCTCATTTGAAGCCTCCCTGCCATGGGCCAGGACACCTTCCACTAGACCAGGTTGTTCCAAGCCCCATTTAACCTGGTCTTGAACACTTTTAGGGATGGGCAGCCACAGCTTCTCTGGGCAACCTGTGCCATGACCTCACCACCCTCACAGTAAAGAATTTCTGACCCACACAAAAATCTGTATGTGGTACTGATACCTATCTCTACTATCCCTGCAAAAGTGGCAGGACAAAAGTCTCTGTTTACTCTCTGAGCCTGACTTTCATAGTCATTTTAATCCTGGAAGATATAAACAATATTCCAGACTCATTTCTCACAGCTGCAGGTCTCAGAGCTCTAACTGCAGGGTGAATCTGCCAGATAAACTTAATTACAGAATGAACATAACTGAAAAGGTGTCCTGGCAGATAATAGACAATTTCATTTAAAGCAACAAAGCAGAAATTAAGTAGATTATAAAGGGAACTTAGAGAAAAGAGAATAGAGAAAAGGTAGAGAGTGACTTTTTACACGGACAGATAGAGACAGTACAAGGTGGGATGTTTTTTACTAAAAGAAGAGAGATTTAGATTAGGTATTAGGAAGAAATTCTTCCCTATGAGGATAGTGAGGCCCTGGCACAGGTTGTCCTGTGGCTACCCCATCCCTGGAAGTGTTCCAAGCCAAGTTGGACAGGGCTTGGAGCAACCTGGTCTAGTGCAATCTGTCCCTGCCCATGGTGTGGGGTTGGAACAAGACAAGCTTTGAGGTCCCTTCCAACCCAGACCATTCTGTGAATCTGTGATTAATTCTTCCTTAAAGAGGATCACCCCACAGCTTTCAGCTCTCTGGATGCTGCAGTGATGTATGAGGGAAACACCAGAGTGTAGGTTTCCATCTGTACACAGATGTTTTTATAAAATGTTGTGAATCGTCACAAAATTTGCCACATTTCAAAGTATTTTGCACGGAGATGTAGCAAATGTTATTTTGATGTTAGTACAACTGAATATTTCTTTGTTGCTGGGTTTGGGAAGACTTTGGGTGTGAATTGTTTGAATTCCTAAGCAGTAGCACTTTGCAATGTGTGTTAACATCTGTTCTGTTTTCTTATCCTCCCTGGTGATAATACCCATTGTGCAGTATCATGATCTTATTATCTAAAGACAGACAAAATCTTAAGGATGCCACTGGTCTTCAGAGTGGAAAGTGATGAGATTTCTCAAGGATCCATGCCAGCTGAGTGCCCTTTGTCTGGGAGATCTCTGCAATTCTATAGTCATGCTACATGCTGCAACTTACCCTCATCAGAGCTTGGATGCCTTCTTCCAGGTCCTTTAGTTTTTCGTACACTCTGTCTGAGGTGCCAAAAACCAGATTGTTTGTGAACATCTTGCTTAGGTACTGCACCGGGGTCAGCCAGGACTGGATGAGAACCAGGGAAAACTGAAGAAGCTCAATGTCCTGAAATTAGGACAAGAAAGGGTCAAAGCTGTGCAGGGGTATTTGATAGCATGTCCTACTCCCTCTGGAACACCTGGAGATGTGCCACCACTCCTGCAGCTTCAGCAGGCACTAAGTTTTCAGGCTGAAGAGCACCACCCAGACCTGTGTCCCATGCAGACAATAGTTTTTCTCATGCTTGGGGTGGGAATGTGATTTACAGTGTAGCCCAGAAATGTATTTCCTTCTTTATGCAGGGTCCAAGTAATCAAAAAGGGAGGAGAGGGATGAAGTACTCAAGTGTTCACAGATGAAAACCCTCTGTTCCTGCAGTGAAGCACAGCTGGGCTCTTCAGGCAGGTCTGAGGGTGAAAAAAACTTACTGATTTCTGCTGAGCATCATCCTTCTTCACGGGAGCAGGGATGGCTTCCGAGTAACAAAAGGCTACCTGGGAATTCTTGTTTGTGTGTCTTTGGTCCTCTGGAATATAGGTGCGTTCCTATGGAGACATCCCACACACACAGAGATCTATTGCCCATGTTCTGGAGAAGATCTCAGACACTTCTCAAGCTGTTCTGAATGGTTACTCTTTGCAATAAATAAATGACGAGGTGCTTTTTGACAGGGCTGGCAGGTAGGAATATCATGTTGGCACAATAGCTACAGGGCCTAAAGGTCTCCCTAAGCCAAGGTGTTGAGGTGAACAGAAACCATATCTGAATTTGGTTCTCCCAAGGAATAAATGACCCCAAAGGACAGCTCATGCCAGCTCCTGTCAGCAGAACAAACTAGATAGTTTTAAGCACTTAGACTCTCCCAGGGTCAGAGGTAACCAACACAGGAAAGTCTTGTCACATATCTGTGCCATGTCCCAGCTGATCCTGAGCAGCTATACTCCTGAGAGGGGGGGATAAGCAGGATCAGAATAGGGGGGCAGAGGGCTAAGAGGAGGAAATAGGGTCCAGTCTGATGGGATGTAACCTGTGCTATCCTGTTTATCACCTCAACAGAGGACAAAGGAGACACCAATAGTTCAAAGGTGTCTGTTACACAGTCTTGAAGCCATCAAACTAAAGTGGAGGAGATGACCAGAGACCACACCACTTACAAACTCCTTGTATGTCTCGGCAGCCAGGAGGTGAAGGTGCTGAGCCCTCAGCACAGCATTGGTAAACAGGCTGGAAAGGGGTATGGCCGGGAAGGCGGCAGCTTGCTGTGGCCACTGCAGTCCCAGAGTGATCATGGCAATGGTGAGAGGAGGGAACCATGACCCTGCAGCAAAGCACAGCAGAAGGGGTTAGCAGTCCTCAGGAAACTGGGTAGAGGAGGGCATGGCACCTGGGAATTAATTCCCAGTCTCTTCGGTCCGTGTTGTTTGAAGGCTTATTTTCCCTGGTGCCTCTTGGCACCAAGAGTAAGCTTAGCCTTCTCCAAAATTCTTTGGAGCCCTTTCACCAAGACCTGCCCCCACCAAGAGCTTGTGCTTCTCCTAGTGTTACCTGCAGTGTCTTCCTGGGTGGAGTCATGGTTGCTCCATGAAAATTAGTATGTGTCCCAATGTTTTTCCCTGATACACTCATGGTTTTCCTTTTCCTTGCCCATGTGAAAAGAACATGGTGCACTCTGGTTACAGGAGCAAGCAGGGGATGATGTACCCCCCTGTAGCCATGGTTGATGCTGTATTGCTGATGTGATGCTGGCTGTCTGCCTCGCTGGGGTGAGAGATGGGGACATTACCTGTGCTCTGACTGGCTCTCTGGGATATGACTGCAGAATTTGGTGATCTTTGTCAACTGCAAATGTTTTCAGCCTTTGATATCTGACCCACCCTAGCGTCTGCCTGCTGCAAAGACCACAAACCTAATCTCAGACACATACCCCTTGGAGGAGAAATGCCCTGGAGACTGTAGGACTTGGCCTGTTTAGACTAAAGATTAATTCATTAATTAAAGTCACATTGCAGGGAAAGGTATTCTTTTTCATTGGTTTATAAATTGACATACTTTAAGTTAGGGCTATCACAGCGTGTGTGTATCCCACCACATACCACCCCATCATCATCTCCTCTCACCCTATACACATGGCAGCATTGACAAATCCTTTAAAACTGTAATAAAAAGTACCTGGAGCCATTTCTGCCTGGTGAGTTGCTCAGGTGCTGCTTGGCAGTGAATATTTCCTCCTGTCATCTGGCAAGGGGAACTGCTGAGCCACCCTTTATATAGCAGGGAGTCTGTTTAAAATGGATCTGTGTGTCTATGCTCACGACAACTCTGCATCTTCTCCGTGCATAAATGCACAGGTGTTCACAGTGGTGTTGCCTCATTGTAGTAATTTATACACAAATGTACAAGTTGGGAAGGTTGTTTGCCTCAGGATAAAATCAGTGCTCAGTGATTTTGCCATATCCTGCTGTTTATCTCAAATAGAAGTTTTCTGGTCATTGGAATACCCATCCCAAGTTACATCAATGCTTTTATATGGTGGAATTTGCTTTGTCCACCTGCTTTTCCTGTCTGTCTCTACAACCTTGGCTCACAGTTCACAGGCCTGACTGACCATTTTGGGAGATTTCTGACTTAAAGCAAATGGCAAGTTGTGCCAGGGGATTTTCAGGTTGGATATGAGGGAAAATGACTTCCTTAAAAGGGTTGTACAGCCCTGGCACAGACTGTCGTGGGCAGTGGTGGAGTCTTCATTCCTGGAGGGATTCAGAAGCTTTGTTGATGTGGCACTTGGGGACATAGATTGGTGGTGGGCTTGGCAGTGCTGGGGGAGCAGTTTGACTCGGTGATCTCAGAAGGCTTTTCCAACCAAAACAATTCTGTGATCCTATGATGTTTTCCCCTTTATTGTTAGTGGGGATAGAGCTGGATGGATGTTGTCAGATTAATCCTATTTCTTTCAATTTCTACAAAAATATCAAATATTCAGCAAATAGTATTGCTGAGCGGGTTTGCTTGTGGGTGTGACAAAGAGCTGTCACTCCTAGGTGCTTGTTTGGGTTCCAGCCTACCCACTGCAAATCCAACTGCCAGAGATCTGGAGGTTTCTCTCATTCTCAGTCTGTGAGAAGACCTGGTTATGAACATCTTCCTGCTCCTAAACAGACTAAGCAGAGGGTTGCTGTGGAAAGCAGGTAGAAGAGATAGGGAAGAAAAGGTGGGGAAGAGAATCATAGAATCATGGGATGGTTTGGGTTGGAAGAGATCTTAAAGCTCATCTCATTCCAAGCTGCTGCCATGGCACACCTTCCACTAGACCAGGATGCTCCAAGCCCGCTCCAGCCTGGCTCCACAGCATACCTATGCTTTCTTTTGAGCAAAATGAAACAGAACCTCAGATGGGCAGCTACAGGGGGGTCTTAAAGGCCTTTTACTCCTCATCAGGCACTGATTACCCCAAACCAACTTTTGTTGGGAGTTCAGGGTCTATTTCTTTCTGCTCAAGTGGTGCTTTGTCTTTCCCAGACGCTGTGTTTGCCATGCCTCCCACTGTGGGTCCAGTTTCCAAGAAGCAGCATCATCCCTGGAGCAGCTGGAGCATAAGGTGGAGAGGTGGTTAATAAACATGCTGTGGAGAGTATGGTCTGTTCTGAACAGCCCCTGGGGTGGAGATGTGGTGGTGTCACAAGGTAAATGTCAGTCCTTGGAGAAGTGGGGATGGCTATCAGGTATCCCGTCACCCAAAAGCCAGCAACATCTGGTTGTGTTTTTCTACTCCAGATTATGTTTAAATACATCAATATTTGTCAGAGATGAGCAAAGCAGCAGCACCTGAACCCAACCCACGAGCTGCTGCCTGTGAATGATGACAGCGTAACACTGCAGCACTTTGCACCCATGTTCTGCTGCCTCTCACTGTCACTGGCTGGCTCTCTAGTTTTGTTAGTGAAACCTTGGTGCTAAATCAACATTTTTTATGTTGTAGCCAAGCATGGAGATGCTGGGATGATCAACCTGTGCAATTCCCCTGAGCCTTGGGTTGTCCCCAATCATTTCTGGGCATTAAATGAGAAAGAAGCATTGTGGGGAAGGTGGTGTGACTGAAGTGTTGGGCTGTGCACACCACTGGCAAAACTACATATATATATCTCAACTTAGCATTTTTCTAGATTTCAGACACAAGCATTTGCAACCTAAAGCAGTATGTCTTAAAAGCACGTGCCATTTCCAAGTTCCTTTTCTTTTTTGAAAGAAAGAAAAACCCCATTTCTCTTTGGCATGTTCACACATCCACCCATCTTACCCTGAGCATCACCTACTCTAACAAGTTTCACTAAAGAAGTGAAACAATTCTTGCAGGTGTATGTGCTCCCTGATTCCTAGAAACCCCCCAACTTGGGGTGGCTGTGTGAAGAGGACCTTCCCAGCCTGACCTTACATTCCAACCCCAACCTGACTTACCTGGATCTTCTTGGGTAAGCAGAGCTGGTAAGTCTTGACCAAGGAGCCACAGCCAGCCCACAGTCTAGGCTCTGTACACTGGAAGGCAACAACGTGATTGACACGTTGATACGTCTTCTAGCTCACTGCTCAAAAGGTAAATTCCTTCTGGAATTTATGGGTCTTGCTCACTGGAGGTAGGACTGTGCAATTTCACTGAACCCATTTGGAAAGATTTTAGAAACATAAATTCATAGAATGACCAGGATTGGAGGGGACCTTAAAAATTATCTTGTTACAACTCCTTCCACTAGACCAGGTGGCTCCATGCCCCATCCATTTTGGCCTGGAATTCTTCCAAGCAACAGTTTTTCTGGGAAACCTCTGCCAGGGCCTCACCACCCTCACAGCCAAGAATTTCTTCCCAATATTTCATCTCTGTCAGTGTCAAGCATTCCCCCTCGTCCTGTCAATGTGAAACCATTCCCCCTTGTTCTGTCACTACACTGCCTTGTAAATAGTGTCTCTCAATCCTTCTTGTAGTCTCTTTTAGGCTAAAGAGGTCCAGGACTGCAACTCAGTCTATGCAAAACCAGCCACCCTTGTTCAAGCAGCCCTAATTCTAGTTTCCAACATATGGAAATGTATTTTACCTTTTTTTTTTCTGAAAACCCTCCTGTTTTCTGCATTCATAAATGTTGGTTGGAAATTTTGGCCTATTTCCTTACTAAACCAATCTAAAACATGCTGGTTTTCTGCTTTACCAGTCAGCCTGGAGGTTTACTGCTCATGCTCATTAGCCACATGGACCATTACCTCTCTCCCTTGTTTTTGCAATTGCTTTTCCTTAATAATTACCCATAAGAAAAATCATATACAGAGAAGGGTGCAAAAGTAAGACTGCTATCCATTAAGTGCAATTTCCATGTGACTAGCTTGGGGCCGCAACACAGGAACCAGATAAAGGGATTTCAGATCCCAGGAATAATCCCTACCCATGTCCTGGGGAATGTCACAGCCACTTCCCATGCCTCAGTTTCTCCATTAGTAAAATGTTGGTCCTAACACTCATTAACAACACAGCTGGAAAGCAGGTAATGATTGCAGAGACACAGGTAAATTTAAAAAAAAAAAAAAAACAACTCATATTTTCTGCTGAAAACAAAGTCAGTCAATTTTACCCCTCTCCAGTGTATTTTTTTTTTTTAATAAGTCTTTTAAGTTGAAATGCAGCAACAGCAAGTTGTCCAGGAACAGGGAGCAGCAGGGAATAAAAGCAGACTCTGGGAAGAGTAATTAATTCCCATTTTTTTAGTCTCTCTCTCCACTAGTGGATCTGACATCATCCTGTGTCTCCCAGCATGAGCTGCCTCTCAGGAACCATCAGCCTTAACCTTCCCGGGCTGAATTGCTTGGTCAGTGCCTCTCCAAATGAATGCACTGTCCCATGGGATGCCAGAGGGGTGGACAGGGAAGGTGCTGAAGTCAAATCCCAGCCCTAGCAGTGCCACAGTCCCATGGAGATTCCCAAAACAGCTGCTGCTGAAGGGTTTTCTGTGGGGTGTGGAGAGGAGCCATCCCAAGGCACACAGTATGAGGAGGACCAGAGCGTATCTACTCTGGGGATAGGCTGAGAGAGGTGGAATTGCTCAGCCTGGAGAAGAGAAGGCTCTGGGGACAATTTAGAGGCCTTTCCAGTGCCCAAAAGGGCTCCAAGAGACCTGGAGAAGCACTTTGGACAAGGGCATGGAGTGACAAGACAAGGAGGAATGGCTTCACACTGACAGAAGGCAGAGTTAGATGGGCTACTGGGGAGAAATTCCTGTCTGCCATGATGGTGGGACCCAGTCATGTGGGAATCCAGGGCTTCCCTCTGGCTGCCCTGGCAGCTCTGGGACCCTGGCAGGGGGTCAGGAACCCCCCTGGACAGAGCCCCCAGAGACACTGTCTGTGATCTCTGTCCATGGAAAAGAGTTTTCAATCTTACAGGATGAATTACAAGCTCTGAGTGTTTGATATAAGTAATAATTAAGTGTGGCACGGGTGCAAAAGTAAAATTTTAGGTTTCTAGATTAGGGGTTCAAAGGGGACAAGATGGAGGAATTGGGTGTATCTTGTCCTTTTCCTCCTTCTTCATGCCC